TTCAGTAAATGTAGTAATAAACATTGTCATACTTGAATTCTAAGTCCTATAAATGGTTTCCATATGTCATAGACCCAGGTTTTTTGTTGTTTTAGGGTCAGAAGGGTCCATTAGATAATCTAGTCTGACCTCCTATATGTCACAGGCCATTAAGTTTCATCATTACCCTGTATTTGAGACTAATAACTAGGGCTTGGCTAAAATACATCTTGATTTGAAGTCTCCAACAGATGGAGAATCCACCACTTCTATTTGTAGTTTGTTCCTCTGGCTAATCACCCTCACTGTGTGGGTTTTATTGTTTGTTTTGTTTTTTAAATTGCGCCTAATTTCTAATTTGAATTTGTCTGGCTTTAACTTCTAGCCATTTGTTCTTATGTCTTTCTCCACTAGATTAAGGATGTTTTTATTACTCAGTACTTTCTCCCCATGAAAGTTCTTAGATACTGTAATCAAGTCATCTTTTAATTTTTTTTTTGAGAAACTAAAATCAGACTTCTGAAAGGAGTACCGTAGTCTGGAAAGGTTGAGAACCACTGAGCTAAACAGATTAAGATTTCACAGGCATTTTCTCCAATTCTCGAATACTTTTTGTGGCTTTTTTCTTCACCCTTTCCAATTTTTCCACATCCTCTTTAAAATGTGGACATCAGAACTGACATGGTATTCCAGTATCTGTCTCACCAATGCTAAAATCCCCTTCATACTCACTTCTCCCCTCTTCATGCATCCAAGGATCACACTGGCTCTCTTTGCTACAGCATCAGACTGGGAGCTCAGGTTCAGCTGTCTGTCCACTACGATTTTAATTTTTTTTTCCAGTCATTGCTTTCCATGGTACAGTCCTCCATTTTGTAGGTGTGGCCTTCATTTCTTGTTCCTACATGTATAACTTTGCATTGGGCTGCATTAAAATGCCTTTTGTTCAAATGGGCCCAGGTTACCAAGTGATACAGATGGCTCTGTATGACTTTCCTGTCTACATCATTATTCAACTCTTCACCAGTCTTTGTCATCTGTAAATTACTTTTATCAGTATGTCTTCAAACACCTCTCTGGTTTTGTGCTGTATGAATTATTTTGTGAAGAGAAATATGGGAGAGGATAACTATTCTGCTTCCTTTGAAAGAATGTTTTTTTCCAGTGGTTTAACAGTATTCACTTCATCCTCACTAGTCCAGCCCAGACGTAGATTGCCTTTACTTCTGAAATTTTGTTCTGAAGTTTAGCATACATACCACCAGGTTAGTTGTAAAGTCCAGAGTATGATCATATTTTCCCAATAAGTATGTGTGACCGTTCACTTTCAAAGCATGTACCTAAGGTCTACATGGCTGAGACACCTCCCTCAAAAAGGTGTACGTCTGTGAGCAGTGTCCATTTGGTTATGGACATTTTAGTACATAGCAATTTTAAATACATATTTCTTTAATGTCTGATGCTTATCTTATGAAATGCCTTTCTGCCTCTTAATCTCTAGTTTAACTGTGGTGTTCTTTTTTCCACTTACTAGAAGAACAAGTTGTACCCTAGAGAGTGGAACCGTGATGTGCAATATAGAGGCAGAGTACGAGTTCAACTCAAGCTGGAAGATGGCAACCCATGTTTACCTCAGTTTCCAACACGTGAGTGCAGTATTTGTTGAGGGGGTATGTGCAGTGAGAAAACTTGGGTAACAATTTATTTTTACCTACTTAGAAAAAGTTAGGGTCGGTTGCCATAATGTCAGGCTGTGTTTGTGTCTCCTATGCTAATGTTAGTGTGACCAGTCTGTTAAAACATTAATAGAGAACTTTGTTGTTAGGCATTTTAGTTCCTACCATTTGAAACATTTGGCTACTATAAGCCATATAAACTGGTAACTAAATGAGATTAGCCAGAGCCTGTTAGTGAGGAAGTGATTCTGTTTTAGGGTACAATCTTCAGTCCTGTTTTTCCTTAGATGGTGCTTCATTCTCATTTTAAAAATTGGGAATTGAACATTCTTTTGGGCACACTGTGTGACCACTGTCTCCAACAAAGCAGTAGTGCTACTTTAGTGTACTGTGTTGTGGTAGACGGTTTCGCTCCAAAAACAAAAAAAAAAATTCTGCTTTAAAACTACTGTATTTCACTTAGTTTTTTCTTGTGTAAACTTGTCATACCTCAGTTAAATTTCAGTGCAGTTGATAAACTGATGTAGTAATCCTGTTTGATATTGCAATTTTCTGCCTAAAATGCTCATAGGAAATCTAAAATACTAACTGGCCTAACTAAAGAAGCCTTCTTAATATTGACAGGTAAGTGAGGAATTAGTGTGCAGAAAGGATAGGGGCAAAGACTAATCTACAGAGTGGGAGAATGAAAGTGCTAGAAACGAGAGAGTGCCATTGATGGTGTGATGGCTTCATGATCTCCACTGATCAGAAGGGGAAGATAGAGCCATGGAGTCTTCTGGTGGGAGCAAATAGTTGGGTCAGCATCTTGCTCCCCTGTAGCATGTTTTGGTTGTCCATCCACTTGTCCTTTTGAGGTCTAGACTAGCCCCAGATAGTTACAGTATTAGCATGCCAAGTCCATATAAACAGAAGGCAATGTGATGGCTTTTTGGAGGCTTGGTCTTCCCCTGCACTTTCACCTTTGAGGCAAGTAACTGCTATAGGGAAGTAAGGGGCGGTGGGGGCTGCACCTCATTGTCTGTCTATACAAGCTAGTCAGCGGTTCTCAAACTGTGGGTCACGACCCCATTTTAATGGAGTTGCCAGGGTTGGCATTAGACTTGCTGGGGCCAAAGCTCGAGCCCCTCCACCCAGGGTTGAAGCCCAAGGGCTTCAGCCCTGGGTGGTGGGGCTCAGGTTACAGGTCCTCCGGCTGTGGCTAAAGCCCTTGGGCTTCTGGTTTGGGCCCTGCCCTTTTGGCTTTGTCTTTGGCCCCCATGTGGGACGGTGAGGCTTGGGAAGGCTCATGCTTCAGTCTCCCCTCCTGGGGTCGTGTAGTAATTTTTCTTGTCAGAAGGGGGTCACGATGCAATGAAGTTTGAGAACCCTTGGGCTAGATCATAATCTAATTGATAAAGAGCAACTCAATTCCTTGATTAGGTCCCAAATTACTGTGACTTTTCTCTAGGCTTGCTCTGGATTCTATTAGTTCTAATGATTCCCCCAGCAAGCACTGAGTGCCTACTTCCAGAGAACACCCAGTATCCCATGGATACAGGGGGAAAAAGCAGAGCTTGGGACTTTGTATCCAACTTGACGAGGGTTCCGGGTAGGCCCGAACATTAGCTAGGGATTCTAATGTTCAAAGTGTTACAAATATTCATATAAATTAACCCTTGCCTTTTGTTTCTAGGTAAATCAGTGATGCTGTATGCAGCAGAAACAATTCCAAAGCTGAAAACAAGGACACAAAAAATGGGAGGTAGTGACCAAAATCTCCAGCCAGGAGAGGGAGGCAAAAAAGGAAAAGGAAAGAAGAAGAAGTGAGCCTGTCTCTGGCATAATTGTTACTTTATATAGTCATTCTATGGCAGATATGGATGGACGTTACTATTTGTGAATCTCAACTGAGATCTAAAAAACAAGAAAACTGGTGAAGCTGTACAGAATTGTCTTCAATTTTTTACTGAAGTGGAATGCATGTACTGTGCCTGACACTGTGTAACATTAATCACAGAACCCCCAAATCCAAAAGTAGCAGCTAGTTTTAGAAGTTACAAACAACATAGACAATTTGAGGGTGGAAACATGATTATTTTCATGGATACATGTGCAGTTGTTTGGCTTTCAAAATAAACAAAGTTTATTTTATGCAGGCTGGATATTTGAAGTTGATTGCCTTAGTACAAAATGTATCTATGCTCATAAAGATAAATTTGTCTTAAGTCTAGACCTTATATATCACTGTACTAGGTAAATTTCCAATGAAATTATCATTACTCTGTACATTTCACTTTTTAATGATTCACAAATGTTAAGTCTAATAAAGGTGGAAAAAACAAATTTTGAAAACCTAGTTGTATAAAATACTTTAGTCGGAGCTTCATCACTCTTTTTTTCCCCCCAGATGACTATTTGAAGAGAAGATATTTTGTACATCTCACCCATTAAAAGCTTGTGGCTGGCTGCATTCTACTGTGGGATAGAATGTCAGATTCTCTTATACTGCCATGTATATGAGAAAGGGCTTACTGACTTTAATATTCTTTTGTCTTTAAAAAGAAAGTACCATCTATCTTTAGTCTTACAATCAGATATTGGAAACACAACTTTATTAATGTCATCATATACAAATATCTGTTTGTTTTATTTTATTAGAGGTGTGTATTGCCTTGGGGAAAAGTTCACTTCGTGCAGAAGCTTAAGCTGATCTATCCTACTCCCCACAGCTGGTGAATCCAAAATAAGGAAGACTCTTGGAAGGAAGGGCCTCACAGAGAGTAAAAAGTGCACTTTGTAAGTTCCAGAGGAAGGGATGGTTTGGGAGCATGAAGAGGGAGAGATTGGAGAGGAAACAGCAGAGCCTGTTCAATAAGTGATCTCATGTAGGTCTTTTTCCCCCACTTACATGTTGAGTGAACCTCCATGTTTATTAAATAATCATTCTGTTTCCGTTCAGAATAACTCTGTAAAAGTGAATATAGTGCTTGTTAACATGTGTTTACAGACACTGGAAATTGATCAGTTTTATCCATATACCTGTATGTAAGTTGTGGTGCAGGCCTTCCACCTAAGGATGATATTTTTCTCTTCCCTCCTGCATGTCTTCCCTGGCACGCATCCTTTATGTGGTAGCTGTTTAAGCAGTGTTTAAATATATGGAGTGTTAGATTTGGCTGTGGTGGATTATAAAATCACAAGGATATGCTCACTTAATTTCAGTTCCTACCTCACTGACCTTGCAGTCCATCCCAGCCAGTGTTACTAACACTGTGAGGAATCAAAAAGCCTGGCTGTGGGGGATGACATCAGAGTTTTAATTCTTGACAGCATAAAGAGAAGGCCCACAAGAATTTCAGAGGGTGATCTTCAACTTTTATTAAAACATAGCTAATGGTTGATATACAATGTAAAACAATGTGAGTGTCTACAATTTGACTCATTATTTAGTATTGAGGGTTTTTTAAAGACTGCTTACAAAAAATACATAAAGCACTGGCCCTGAAAAGTGGCAGTTTTGTTTTATGGTAGGTTTTGACACCGGGTTTGGAAAATTGGGGAAAGTAGATGGTATATGATGCACTTGCCGTACGGCCATTGCTTTTTCTGTTGTAAGTAGCTGAAATACAAATAGGTATTTAGTGTGACATCTGACTAGTATTTTTTCTATGGGGGTAAAGTGTATGCTAGGACATTCTCAGTCTATGTGAAGATATAGATAGCAACAGTGTCTTACTTAAGGTCTCCATGCAGATCTTAGTTTTTATATTACCTGTTTCCTCTGTTCTGTAATTCAGTGTGTCATGATAGCTCTTTGGATATCTTACCCGCAGGTGGCATGGGGAATTAGACACTTTCTGGAATCAGTGTTACTTTGGGCAATCTGGACTGATAAATACTTAATTTCCTATATAGTCTTCTAATTGGGAACAGAATTTTTTTTCTGTAAGTTAGTTGAAATCTGTCATGACTACTCTTAGATTTTGCACAACAGCAAAGGGTGAGAATTTTTATTTACTAACTACACAATACTTTAATTACACCATTTCATCCTTGTTGCAGCTGAGCAAATTCAAAAATTCATGACCGGTCTAGAGTCGGATAGGCAAAGGTGCTATGGAGTTCAGCCAGGGTAACGGCAATAACTCACAAGGCTACCTTATCTTGAGAGGTAAGCGATCGCTTGATAATAAGAGTTGGGGATTGTGGGTTTGAGTGAGCATATTTAAATATTCAAGGCCACAGAAGGAAATCAATTTTGTGGGGTTTTTTTGTGAGGTTATTTTAAAACTTTGAGTTATAGAGGCTCTTTTTGTGGGCCATGCATGCATAATCTACTGTGAATTACTTTTGGAGAATCTCTTTGTAAACACACACTGAGGTTTCCAAAAGTAACAGTTAAAGAAAGAAGCTGCATTTATACTGAATGCTTGAACTGATGGAAGCCTTACCATGTGAATGCTATGTGGTTGGGACACTGTAGGTGTATGTCTGGCTGAGCAGGATGAATGGTAAACATGGGATGCAGTCAGTGGCATGCTCTCCTGGGAAGTGGCAAATGTGGCAGGAATTATTACTTTGGTCACAGTTAACTTCCATTCTGTACCTTATATGTCTCTAGAAAGGGTGGGATTGTGCAGTTGCAATGGGGGAGTGAACGGCAGTATAATTACAAGGCATGCTAGTAAGGAAGAGGGGAGACATGGCATTTGCACTCCAAATACTGGGCTCAACAGCGTGCTATACCTTCTTCCCCCCTCATGGTAGCTCCTGTCCACTGTTGAGGAAGGATTGACATTGGTTTTCTGCAAAATGAAAGCCCCGGGAACATTTTTTTTTTCCTTTTAGAAAGTTCTGTGCAGGAGGGGACAATCTGGCACCAGGGTTTTGAGTGACTGCTAAGTGAGGCTCCTTAGGACTGTGATCTACCTAATTCTTATCCTTGTGAACAAAACTTGAATGTTCAAATTTAGGCAATTGGTGTATTAAAAAATGTGTGAGGTTAAATACTGATTGGATGTGCATCTACTGTTCATAGTGGCGAAGAGTACAATTCAACCTCTATTTTGGTGTACTGTCTGGATAAATAAAAGCATTTTAATTACATTGCCACCTTGGTTATTAAATACAGTAAATATGTAATAAAACAAAATTAGTCCATGTTGACTCCTAATACATTTATATGCTTTGAAAAGGAGCTGAGATGGATACTTGGCAATGACCATACTGTAATGCTTTGACAGAGGTGACTGACCTCATAACCCCCTATACTGATGAGATTAAATGAAACTACCAAAACGTTGTTCAAACCTGCTAGGTACAAAACTGGCTACACCCTTTAACAGACATATGGTGTTTAGAGAATTAAACAGCTGACAGTGTTGGGGTCTTTAGAAAAGGCTGTTCTTCACTCACAAATAAGTTCAGGAATGTGTTATGCACACAGTGGCTTAAGAACAGCTCCTGCGTGTGAAGACCAGTTTAACATGAATGATCTAACCTCCATAAATTGTTTCAGGAGCATCTTAAAGTTAAACTTTGACCCTTCTTTCTGTGAGTTGAAACAGATTGGCTTGAAATTTTCTGGTCTCTAGGCTTCAGTTTTGAACAACTTTTCAAATACTAAGAGCTGTAAAAGACAACAAAGGTATTAGACTGTTAGGGGATACTGATCCTAAAACCTATTGGTCTTTTTGTTTTTTTTCTCCTCGCCCATGACATCCTTCTCAGGCAGAATGGACATTTCAATAAACATGCTCCACTCATTGTGTGTAATGGAATCTCAGACTCTCCTAGCCTTCAACAACTTCTCTTAATAAATATTTGGAAAAAAATGTCAGTTACTACAAAAAAAAATACAGTGAAACTTGGACAAGAGACCACACTTAGTGAAACACCTCTTGTTTTAAGAGAGTGGCCCATTTAAATGTTGTATTTTCATCATCCTTTCCACATCATGATGTACATAAGGCAGCAGTTAAATGGCACCAATTACCTTGAACCTAGCTGATTTTTCCAGGTCTTCTATACTTTGCTCTAATAATGCTGCTTTACCCCTTATTGTGCTGTGCAGTGTGCCTTTAGGTAACCTTCTTTGGCTATTGCCTGGAGTCACCAAAGAAATACTTGTTTAGGAAGCCTGTTTTGGGGCAGAGCCGGCACTAGGCATAAACAGACTCAGCAATTGCTTAGGACCCTGAGCAACTTCGGGGGGCCCCCTATTTGCTTTTTATTATGTGGTGTGGGGCGAGCAGGGCTGATGCCAAAAATATTGCTGCTTAGAGCTCCCAATGTTGCGAGCACCATCTCTGAAAGATGTTCCATATATGTCTATCCCTTCTTAGAGACAGCTTTGTCTGTAGGGGTGAATCTAAACTGATCAAATATGATTCTGTTCTGCCTTTTTATTAGATTGACAAATTCGTTGTTTAAATAGGGGTGGCAATTTAGACAGGTTGCACTATATTCATAGCGAATACAGCTTTTTACTTTATAGGTAAGGACAGAATGCAGTTGTTTGGTTCAATAGCGTGCTAGATATCTACAAAATTACTCCTCAAGTTATCATAACTGGCTGTGGGTGGGAAAACTTCTCCAGGTATTTTTTCCTCTCAGTTGTGAAAAATGGAACCATTCCCTTGTGTGCGTTTCATGTAACCCAGTCATGGATCCTCTGTTTATTTTAAAAGGAGAGGAAGCAGATATTCTAAGTGCCATATGAAAATCCTATTGGAGGTGTTGAGACCAACAATTCAGGAAGTAAACCTGCTTTGCTTCAAAAACTGGGTGATAAGAGATGACTTTTTAAGGAATTCAGGATTTGGCATCCATAGTAGTTCTTAGCCTAGCTTACATTTTGACCAATGAGAGTTTACTGGCATAAGGACAGTAAAAACTCACTCAGGTCCTCCAAAATTTGCTGCTTGGAGCTAAGAAAAACTAGTTCTTCAAGTGCTTGCTCATGTCAATTCCATTTTAGGTGTGTGTGCTCGCCACATACACCAGTGCCGGAAGTATTTCCCTTAGCAGTATCTGTAGAGGACCAGCTCTGGCGCTCTCTAGAGTGGCGCCCACATGGCACGGTATAAGGGGCGCCACCCTCAGTTCCTTCTTGCTGCCAGTGATGGTACTGGAACATCTGCTTCGGCTAGCGTTGTTTCATTTTCTGTTCTCGCAAACTTTGAAAACCTGTAAAATAGTTATATATAGTTAGTAGTTTCTTAGTTAAACCCTTAGCCCTGGTCTACACTAGGACTTTAGGTCGAATTTAGCAGCGTTAAATCGATGTAAACCTGCACCGGTCCACACAATGAAGCCCTTTATTTCGACTTAAAGGGCTCTTAAAATCGATTTCCTTACTCCACCCCTGACAAGTGGATTAGCGCTTAAATTGACGTTGCCGGCTCGAATTTGGGGTACTGTGGACACAATTAGATGGTATTGGCCTCCAGGAGCTATCCCAGAGTGCTCCATTATGACCGCTCTGGACAGCACTCTCAACTCAGATGCACTGGCCAGGTAGACAGGAAAAGAACCGCGAACTTTTGAATCTCATTTCCTGTTTGGCCAGCGTGGCAAGCTGCAGGTGACCATGCAGAGCTCATCAGCACAGGTGACCATGATGGAGTCCCAGAATCGCAAAAGAGCTCCAGCATGGACCGAACGGGAGGTACGGGATCTGATCGCTGTTTGGGGAGAGGAATCCGTGCTATCAGAACTCCGTTCCAGTTTTCGAAATGCCAAAACCTTTGTCAAAGTCTCCCAGGGCATGAAGGACAGAGGCCATAACAGGGACCCGAAGCAGTGCCACGTGAAACTGAAGGAGCTGAGGCAAGCCTACCAGAAAACCAGAGAGGCAAACAGCCGCTCTGGGTCAGAGCGCCAAACATGCCGCTTCTATGATGAGCTGCATGCCATTTTAGGGGGTTCAGCCACCACTACCCCAGCCGTGTTGTTTGACTCCTTCAATGGAGATGGAGGCAATACGGAAGCAGGTTTTGGGGACGAAGATGATGATGAGGAGGAGGAGGTTGTAGATAGCTCACAGCAAGCAAGCGGAGAAACCGGTTTTCCCGACAGCCAGGAACTGTTTCTCACCCTAGACCTGGAGCCAGTACCCCCCAAACCCACCCAAGGCTGCCTCCTGGACCCAGCAGGCGGAGAAGGGACCTCTGGTGAGTGTACCTTTTAAAATACTATACATGGTTTAAAAGCAAGCATGTGAAAGGATTACTTTGCCCTGGCATTTGCGGTTCTCCTAGATGTAGTCCTAAAGCCTTTGCAAAAGGTTTCTGGGGAGGGCAGCCTTATTGCGTCCTTCATGGTAGGACACTTTACCACTCCAGGCCAGTAACACGTACTCGGGAATCATTGTAGAACAAAGCATTGCAGTGTATGTTTGCTGGCATTCAAACAACATCCGTTCTTTATCTCTCTGTGTTATCCTCAGGAGAGTGAGATATAATTCATGGTCACCTGGTTGAAATAGAGTGCTTTTCTTCAGGGGACACTCAGAGGAGCCCATTCCTACTGGGCTGTTTGCCTGTGGCTAAACAGAAATGTTCCCCGCTGTTAGCCACAGGGAGGGGGGAAGGTTGAGGGGGTAGTCACGCGGTGGGAGGAGGCAAAATGCGACCTTGTAACGAAAGCACATGTGCTATGTATGTAATGTTAACAGCAAGGTTTACCCTGAAAGAGTGTAGCCACTGTTTTATAAAATGTGTCTTTTTAAATACCGCTGTCCCTTTTTTTTTCTCCACCAGCTGCATGTGTTTCAATGATCACAGGATCTTCTCCTTCCCAGAGGCTAGTGAAGCTTAGAAAGAAAAAAAAAAAATGCACTCGCGATGAAATGTTCTCCGAGCTCATGCTGTCCTCCCACACTGACAGAGCACAGACGAATGCGTGGAGGCAAATAATGTCAGAGTGCAGGAAAGCACAAAATGACCGGGAGGAGAGGTGGCGGGCTGAAGAGAGTAAGTGGCGGGCTGAAGACAGGGCTGAAGCTCAAATGTGGCGGCAGCGTGATGAGAGGAGGCAGGATTCAATGCCGAGGCTGCTGCAGGACCAAACCAGTATGCTCCAGTGTATGGTTGAGCTGCAGCAAAGGCAGCTGGAGCACAGACTGCCACTGCAGCCCCTCTGTAACCAACCGCCCTCCTCCCCAAGTTCCATAGCCTCCACACCCAGACGCCCAAGAACACGGTGGGGAGGCCTCCGGCCAACCAGCCACTCCACCACAGAGGATTGCCCCAAAAAAAGAAGGCTGTCATTCAATAAATTTTAAAGTTGTAAACTTTTAAAGTGCTGTGTGGCATTTTCCTTCCCTCCTCCACCACCCCTCCTGGGCTACCTTGGTAGTCATCCCCCTATTTGTGTGATGAATGAATAAAGAATGCATGAATGTGAAGCAACAATGACTTTATTGCCTCTGCAAGCGGTGATCGAAGGGAGGAGGGGCGGGTGGTTAGCTTACAGGGAAGTAGAGTGAACCAAGGGGCGGGGGGCTTCATCAAGGAGAAACAAACAGAACTTTCACACCGTAGCCTGGCCAGTCATGAAACTGGTTTTCAAAGCTTCTCTGATGCGTACTGCGCCCTCCTGTGCTCTTCTAACCGCCCTGGTGTCTAGCTGCGCGTAACCAGCAGCCAGGCGATTTGCCTCAACCTCCCACCCCGCCATAAACGTCTCCCCCTTACTCTCTCAGATATTGTGGAGCACACAGCAAGCAGTAATAACAGTGGGAATATTGGTTTCGCTGAGGTCTAAGCGAGTCAGTAAACTGCGCCAGCGCGCCTTTAAACGTCCAAATGCACATTCTAGCACCATTCTGCACTTGCTCAGCCTGTAGTTGAACAGCTCCTGACTACTGTCCAGGCTGCCTGTGTACGGCTTCATGAGCCATGGCATTAAGGGGTAGGCTGGGTCCCCAAGGATACATATAGGCATTTCAACATCCCCAACAGTTATTTTCTGGTCTGGGAATAAAGTCCCTTCCTGCAGCTTTTGAAACAGACCAGAGTTCCTGAAGATGCGAGCATCATGCACCTTTCCCGGCCATCCCACGTTGATGTTGGTGAAACGTCCCTTGTGATCCACCAGAGCTTGCAGCACTATCGAAAAGTACCCCTTGCGGTTTATGTACTCGGCGGCTTGGTGCTCCGGTGCCAAGATAGGGATATGGGTTCCGTCTATAGCCCCACCACAGTTAGGGAATCCCATTGCAGCAAAGCCATCCACTATGACCTGCACATTTCCCAGGGTCACTACCCTTGATATCAGCAGATCTTTGATTGTGTGGGCTACTTGCATCACAGCAGCCCCAACAGTAGATTTGCCCACTCCAAATTGATTCCCAACTGACCGGTAGCTGTCTGGCGTTGCAAGCTTCCACAGGGCTATCGCCACTCGCTTCTCAACTGTGAGGGCTGCTCTCATCTTGGTATTCATGCGCCTCAGGGCAGGGAAAAGCAAGTCACAAAGTTCCATGAAAGTGCCCTTACGCATGTGAAAGTTTCGCAGCCACTGGGAATCGTCCCAGACCTGCAACACTATGCGGTCCCACCAGTCTGTGCTTGTTTCCCGAGCCCAGAATCGGCGTTCCACAGCATGAACCTGCCCCATTAGCACCATGATGCATGCATTGGCAGGGCCCATGATTTCAGAGAAATCTGTGTCCATGTCCTGATCACTCATGTGACCGCGCTGACGTCGCCTCCTCGCCCGGTATCGCTTTGCCAGGTTCTGGTGCTGGATAATGCGTGTGGTGTTTAATGTGCTCCTAATTGCCAAAGTGAGCTGAGCGGCCTCCATGCTTGCCTTGGTATGGCGTCCGCACAGAAAAAAGGCATGGAACGATTGTCTGCCGTTGCTCTGACGGAGGGAGGGACGACTGACGACACGGCTTACAGGGTTGGCTTCAGGGAGCTAAAATCAACAAAGGGGGTGTCTTTACATCAAGGAGTATTTCAGGCAGGACTTCACGGAGGGTTCCAATAAGAAATGGTGCACCTAAGTTATCGTTCTTATTGGAACAAGGAGGTTAGCCTGGCCTCTGATTGATACATGGCTAGATTTACCTCGCTGCACCTTCTCTGTGAGTGACTGCAGTGTGACCTAGAGGAATGAGTCCCCTAGACAGGGGAGGAGGCAAATGAGTACAAAACAAATCTGGTCTATTTCTTGTTTTGACCCACTCCATCGATCTTTTACATCTTTGGCTGGCAGCAGACGGTGCAGAAGGACTGCATGCCATCCACATCTCATGGCTGCTCGGCAGAAGATGGTACAGTACGACTGCTAGCCATCCTCATCTCTTGCCTGCCTGGCAGAAGATGGTACAATACGACTACTAGCAATCTTCATCTCTTGCCTGCCTGGCAGAAGATGGTACAGTACGACTGCTAGCAGTCCGTATCGCCTGCCCGCTCACCATAAGATGGTTCAATAGGACTGACTGCAGGACTAAAGAGAATAACCTGGTCAAGTCACTCCAAATTTAGTCCCTGCGCCCATGTCTGCCCAGGCGCTCCCAGCCGACGTGGCCAGGAGCACCTCGGACACGACGAGGACGACTACCAGTCGTATTGCACCGTCTGCTGCCAGAAGGCAATGGGTTGCTGCTACTGTTTAGCAATGCCGTACCGCGTCTGCCAGCACCCAGGAGACATAGGGTGACGGTTACCTGAGTGGGCTCCATGCTTGCCGTGGTATGGCGTCTGCACAGGTAACTCAGGAAAAAAGGCGCGAAACGATTGTCTGCCCTTGCTTTCACGGAGGGAGGGAGAGAAGGGGGGCCTGACGATATGTACCCAGAACCACCCGCGACAATGTTTTAGCCCCATCAGGCATTGGGATCTCAACCCAGAATTCCAATGGGCAGCCGAGACTGCGGGAACTGTGGGATAGCTATCCACAGTGCAATGCTCCGGAAGTCGACTCTAGCCTCGGTACTGTGGAAGCACTCCGCCGAGTTAATGCATTTAATGCACTTAGAGCATTTTCTGTGGGGACACACTCACTCGAATATATAAAACCGATTTCTAAAAAACCGACTTCTATAAATTCGACCTTATTCCGTAGTGTAGACATACCCTTAGTAGTAGTTTTCAACTCGTCGTTAGTCCTGAATGGGACTCAGCCGGGGGATGGGGCATGCCTCGGTCCAGAGGCTTTAAGCCCTGCAATCGCTGTAAACCACCTACGCCCGTCAGCAATCCACATACCAGCTGCCTAAGGTGCTTAGGCACTGGGCACATAAGTTGCAAGTGCTGTATCTGCAAGTCCTTTAAACCTACGATGAAGAGGGAGCATGAAACTCGTCTAAGGCGCTCCTAATGGAGTTGGCACTAACTCCAGCACTGGAGCAGTGGTCCACCTCTGCACAGAGCACCATGGCCTCCGTGCGCAGTGCTCTGCCAGCGCCACCCACGAGCCAGCACTGGTCTCCCTCCATGGCTTTGGTCCTGCAAGGGAAAGGAGAGGGCTGGGGGGCGAGCCACGACCTGTACCGGGCAGCTCAACACCCCCTTCAGGAAGTCAGGCCCCAGCTCAAGTCAAGCGGTGCAACCCATCCTGTACTTTGCCTGCAACTCCAGATAGCGTCATGCCTCGGGACTAGAGCGGCAGGCTCAGTGGAGTCCCCTTCAGTCCCTGCACTGGGGACACCAATGGAGGGATTCGAGGCATTCCTCGCTGGCGGATTGGCACAGACACTCTGGGGCACGTGCTGCCTGGGAAGATCTCAGGGACTTGCCCTGAGCATCTCCAAAGGCCTGATACTGATCACAGGACTGATCGGGGAGCAGAGACCACCAATCGCCCAGTTGTCATCGTCTGTCTTCTAGGAGATTGCCCTTTTCACGAGGTTCCTCACGACAACTGGTCTGTAGTGGCTCCTGGTCAAGCAGCATGAGGTGTGGATTGCCGGGTTTCTGAGACAGATCCGCCAAATGTCATCGGTCTCCGAAAACCCTACCAAGACACCTGACTCGCTCGGACAGGTTGGCTTTGGGTCACAGCAACCGGCACCGCAGTGTTGGACAAGAGCCACCACTCCACCCGTTCCTGGTTGCCTGGTACCGACTACTCCACTTACAGCTCCAGCACAAAGCAATATTCCCTGGCTGTGGGACAAGCCCCAGTGCCTACAGCATCTACGGCACTGAAACCTGTTCCATGGCCTCAAGGGCAGTGGCCGGTGCCATAGTACCTGTGGAACCCTTGGGGGTTCACCCAACCATCCCAAGCTGCCCGATCGGTGTCGGGAGCCTCGGAGAGGCCAGTGGCCTTGGTATCCCGTCCCCTTCCAGTGCTCGATGCTTCAGGGGGAAGGATCCCACAGGTCCAGGAGGAGCAAGCTGCTGGACCACCAGTGGACATGCTGGTGCCGCGGGAACCTCCATCGTCCTCATCGTCACCAGATGAGGCTATCACGGGGCCCCCTCACACAGTTCCTCAGGATGACGCCAAGGTGCACCAGGAACTTTTGAAGAGGGTCGCTTCCAACCTGGGGCTTCAGGCAGAGGAACTGGAAGAGCTCTTAGACTCTCTGTTTGATGTCCTCTGCTCCTTCCAGGGTGGCCCTACCTTTTCATGAAGAAGTTTCCAAAATCACTAATGCCCTGTGGCTGACCCCCTCTTCCTTGGCCCATATCTCTGAGGGCCGAACGCAAGTACTTTGTGCCAACCAAGGGGCATGAGTACTTATACTCCCACCCAGCCCCTAATTCCCTTGTGGTAGGAGAGGTTAACCATAAAGACAGGCCAGGGCAACCAGGGCCACCCCCAAAAATAAAGACTTGAGGAGGCTGGATCTCTTTGGACATAAGTTATTCATCTTCCAGCCTTCAGCTGAGAGTGGCCAACCACCAAGCCCTCCTTGGCTTGCCACATATTAGAGTCATACCAGCCATGGCCAAGTTTGAAGGATCGCTTCCTGAGGCTTCCAAGAAGGAGTTCTGAGCAACCCTCAATGAGGGCACGCCCGCGGGCAGGGCAGCCCTCCAGGCGGCATCAGATGCCACTGATGCTGCTGCCCGCACCATGGCTTCTGCATCTCCATGCGGCGAGCCTCCAGGCTGCTCCTCTCTGGGCTCTCCTCTGAGGCTCAGCAGTCAATGCAGGGCTTGCCCTTTGACAGCTGAGCCCTATTTGCGGAGCAAACAGACAGCAAATTGCATGGCCTAAAGGACTCCCGCACCACCCTGAAAACCCTGGGTCTTTACGTCTGAGCCCCAGCATGTAAGCGGTTGAGACCGCAGCAGCCGCATGACCAGGGGAGCCAGCCTCAGCAGGACCAGCCCCACAAATGAGCCAACGGCTACAAGCAATGGCCGAGCCACCCACCTCCACCTTCTGCCCAGTCAGGCCCAACCCATGCCAAGCAAGGGACCAAATAGTCATTTGAGGGTGGCCTACCAGACTATTCCCTGGATCCGTCTGTTCCAGTGTTCTCCAACTGCGTTTCCCTTTTTCTCCCTCCTTGGACCGATGGGTCCTCAGTACAGTGGAACAGGGTTATACCCTCCAGTTCCTTTCTACCCCCCCTTCCCACCCACCTTCCCCATCCCTCTTCAGAGACCCCTCTCATGAGAGTCACCTGCACAGGAGGTAAAGGGGTTGCTACAGCTGGGTGCGGTGGGAGAAATTCCTCTCGAGTACAGGAACAAGGGGTTCTATTCCCGGTACCTTTTAATCCCAAAGGCCAAGAGTGGTCTACGGCCCATCCTGGACCTGCGAGACCTCAACAAATACCTAAAGAAGTTAAAGTTCCGCATGGTTTCCCTGGCTTCTGTTTTCCCCTCCCTGGATCTGGGAGACTGGTATGCCGCCCTCGACTTTGAAGGATGCATACTTCCACATAGGTGATCTTTCAAGAACACAGATGCTTCCTCCAGTTTACGGTGGGGCCCCACCACTACCAGTTTGCGGTCCTCCCATTTGGCCTGACGACAGCACTGAGAGTGTTTTACCAAGTGCATGTCGGTGGTAGCTGCTTACCTCGGGCGCCGGGGTATCCCGATCTATCTGTACGTTTACGATTGAGGGTAGTTCCAGGTCTTAAGTCCAAAGGGATGTTGTGGTGCTTCAAGCCACGTGCCACCTCTGGGCCTTCTGGTAAACAACAAAAAGTTGCCATTAATGCCGGTGCAGAGGATAGAGTTAATCAGAACGGTCCTCAACTTGACCTGCACCAGGGTGTTCCTGCCATGGGACAGGTTCCATACGCTGACGAACCTCATCTCGGAAGTCTCTGTGATCCCTCTGACTACAGCCAGGGTTTATCTGTGCCTGCTAAGCCACATGGCGGCATGCACTTATGTGATCCACCATACCTGGCTCTGGATGTGGCCCCTGCAACAATGGCTGGGAATGGTCTATTCCCAGTCCCGAGACCCTCTGGAAAAGATCATTACCATTCCCGGCGATACTTACCTTGCTGCAATGGTGGACCAATCACGAGACTGTCCTGGAGGGGTTCCATTCAACAACCCCCATCACTCAGTTGAGTTGGTGTCGGACACCTAAGACCTCCAGACAAAGGGGATGTGGTCCCCGGAGGAGGCGAAGTAGCACATAAATGGCAAAGAGCTCCGAGCAGTCCAGCTGGCGTGCGGTGTCTTTCTGCCCCAACTGTTGGGTAAGGTGGTATGGGTCCTGATGGACAACACAGCCTCGATGTTCTATATCAACAGGTAAGGGGGAGCACGCCCATTGGCTCTCTGTCAAGAGGCCCTCCATCTATGGGACTTCTGCATCAGCCACAAAATCTACCTGGAAGCTTGTCACCTTCCTGGCATCAAGAATACACTGGCGGACCAGCTCAGCAGGGACTACTTCTCTCACCACGAGTGGTCACTCCATCCAGAGGTAGCCTGCATGATCTTCCAAAGGTGAGGAACTTCCCAAGTGGACTTGTTCGCCACCAGACAGAACAGGAAATGCCACTAGTTCTGTTCTCAGCAAGGTCTGAGCAAAGGCTCCCTCTCTGATGCCTTTCTCCTGTTGTGGTCAGGAAGCCTGATGTACACGTTCCGTCCAATTCCACTCATCAGCAGAGTCCTGGCAAAGATCAAGAGAGACAAAGTGCAGGTTGTCGTGATCGCCCCGGCATGGCCTCTCCAGTGTTGGTTCGGCACACTCATGAGCTTGTCAGCGCCCCCTCCCTGGCCCCTACGCAACCGACCAGACCTGCTGTCACAGGACCACGGTTGGCTCCCACACTCCAACCTCAAGTCCCTCCACCTCCTGGTGTGGATGTGTGTGGCTCAACCCGGAGGAGAGGACCTGTTCGGAAGGAGTCCAATAGGTCCTTCTGGGAAGTAGAAAGCCCTCAACTAGACTGACTTACCTGGCCAAGTGGACGAGGTTTTCCCCCTGGGCATCCAAGCATGGCATCTCTGCCTCGTGTTCTTCTATACAGGCTGTTCTGGACTACGTGCTCCATTTGAGGAACCAGGGCCTGGCACACACTTCCCTTAGAGGGCATCTTGTGGCCATCTCTGCTTTTCACTTGCCTATCCAAGGACAGGCAGTGTTTTCCCATGACATGACAATCAGATTCTTGAGAGGGCTCAAGAGATTCTTCCCACAGGTATGGGCTCCTGTCCCACTGTGGGACCTTAACTTGGTCCTCTCACCGGCCCGCCTTTCGAGCTGCTGGGTTCCTGCTCCTTTTCCCACCTGTCATGGAAGGTCGCGTTCCTGGTGATGGTGATGTCGGTGAGACAGGTCTCTGAAATTCAAGCCTTGACCTCAGAACTACTGTACACAGTCTTCTGCAAAGACAAAGTTCAGCTGTGGCCCCACCCAGCCTTCCTTCTGAAGGTGGTATCCACCTTCTGTATGAACCAGGACATCTTCCTCCCGGTGTTCTGTCCCAAACCACTCAAGACAGTAAAGAGAGGCAACTTCATGCTCTGGATGTCTGAAGGGCCTTGGCTTTTTACTTAGAACATACCAAGCCCTTCTGTAAATCAACTTGGCTCTTCATCGCTACAGCAAACAGGAAGAAGGGCCTACCGGTGTCCACCCAGAGGATTTCCAGTTGGATCACCTCATGCATAAGGAGCTGTTACGATCTGGCGGAGGTTCCACCGCCGCCGATTGTCAGAGCCCACTCGAGAGCTCAGGAGTCTTTGGCAGCCTTCCTGGCGCACATCCCTATCCAGGACATCTGTAGAGCCACAATGTGGTCCTCTGTTTACACGTTTACCACTCATTACCCCATCACTCAGCAGGCCAGGGATGATGCTGAGTTCAGAGCCATGTTGCAATCTACACATCCATTAACTCCTACCCACCTTCAAGGGTACTGCTTTGGAGTCATCTAATATGGAATGGACATGAGTAAGCATTTGAAGAAGAAAAGACAGTTATCTTTTCCATAACTGGTATTCTTTGAGATGTATTGCTCATGTCCATTCCACAGCCCGCCCTCCTTCCCCACTGTTGGAGTGCCTGGCAAGAAGGAACTGAGGGTGGGGGGAGCTGGCAGCGCCCCTTATACTGTGTCATGCGGGCGCCACTCCAGAGGGTACCAGAGCCGGTCTCCTACGGATACCGCTAAGTGAAACAGTTCCGGCACCGGTGCATTTGGCGAGCGCACACACACCTAATATGGAATGGACATGAGCAACACATCTTGAAGAACACCAATTATGGAAAAGGTAACTATCTTTTTCCTCCAGGTGGCGGTGTTGGCAAAGGCATAAATCCATTCTGGGAATTAAAAGGCTCTGTCCCATGCAAGTGTGGAATATCTTAAAGGTAATGTTTCTCTTGAAAAATAATAGCCAAGATTGTTAAAAACAGGTGCTTAAAGTTAGGTTCCTAAATCCATATTTAGGCATCTAAATAAGATGCCTAATTTTCCATAAGCACTGAGCAGCTTCAGCTCCCACTGAAATCAAGTACTGAATTGGTTTGTTTAATGATAGAAAATTTTAGAATTGTTCTACAGCTGGGAAAATTTTTGTAACACTTCAAAGTCTCTCCTTCATTGTCATTTATTTTTAAAAGCACTACTTGAGACCAGTTCAATCAAAGTTTCTCTAACATATTTTACTTTGGGAATTTTAAATAAGTAGTTGTATGTTCATTCAAAACACTTCTGCCTTTAGGAGTCTGATATCTGTACATAGTTTTTGCTGCCATAGCAAAACAATACACCTTCATTTTTTGTATATATATTTGAAATTACAAGTCATACCATTTAAAAGCTTTTCTGTTTTTCATAACATGATTCTTATAAGTCATCTTAATTCTGCTTTAGAAGTCTCAAGATCTCTTCTTTTCTGTATTTGACAATGTGACACTACGTTGTTATATCCAGTTCCTAACAATATTAAGCAACATATATTTATAGTATATTTATACTATAATCTATTTTACTATATGTGAAGTAATAGGAATTTTATTAGTAGTGAAAGAAATCTACCTGGGGGGGGGAACCTTGTGCGCTAATAAAATGTTTCCATCATGTTTTAGGAATACTATCAACTTGATTATTTTTTTAAAAAATAACAGGCTTTTAATATTGCAGTTTCTCTCTTGTGCTCTTTAAACAGCATGTCAGCTCCTGTGTCAATATCCGAATCTCTTTGGCCGGATAAAGAAACATGACTGCACAAAAATATACAGCAAACTTCAAAAAAAAAATATATGAGGGGATTGCAGGACATATAACCTGTTTCTTATTATAATGTTTTTGTTACTTTAAACTAGAATGGGTATGAAAGTTTCTGACAGGAGTGTGACTTTTTTTTTTTCAAGCTGACAGTGTTCGTGTAACACTTTCTATAGATCGGCAGATGATAAGATTGATATTAGGCACAGAGCAAAGACTGCTTTGAAAAGTGAAGTCACACAATGAAAGAAAAGCCTTCTTAAAAATGAGAGAATATAAATAGGCACTTTATTTACTTTTTCAGATATCTGAGGGCAGAATCTTCTGCAGTGGAAATGCAGACCCTTGCACTCAGATCTTGATGTAAAGAAAGTGAGAGTTTCAAACATTTTATTTTAAAATGTATGTTTGATTTGGGAAATGGCATTTAAAAATTACTACAAGTAATTTTCCATCCTTCTCCACAATGTGCTAATCACAGAAGAAAAACTTTAAGAAAACAACTTTTTTTTTTATATAGCACCTAAGAGAAGTCATTTCACCTCTGCCTCAGTTTTGGCATCTGTAATATGGGGATAATGATATATACTTTTTGAGATCTACTGATGAAAAGCAATATTTAAGACATAGGTATTTTTGTTCTTAAAACTATCCCACTTTATTACCATGAAATAATGAAAGTCTGTATACCTAAAACTTGGGAAGAATATGCTGTTTGTTAACATTTACTGCTTTTAAGACACTTTTTTTCCTTCAAATAAGCCAACTGAAGTATTTTCCATAAAATATCCCTTATTAATGGCTGGGCTGGTAGCGCTGCTTATTATTAAGGTTACCTAACACTTTCCATTACAAGGCTCTGTCTTCAGTAGCTTGTAACTTTGCCAAACTTTAACTGTTCGTGCTGAAATTTTCCATGTTAGGTATCTGCCTCAGATTGAATCTTTCTGGAAAAACTTCAGCTGGAATGGTTCAGCTGTTTGAGACTGATACTAGAGAAAAATAGCTTTGTCTGCCCATTAAAAAACAAACAACACTTGCAACCTCTTTTATGAAAAGTTCTAGCAGCCTCATGCTTTGGAGCAGAGACTTGAAATTTGACAGATGGTGGCCTTTGTGTCAGGATAGATCTTTTGCCATCCCTGTGAAAATGTCAAAATTTGGCCAGGTAATATACCTCTGAAAAATTGCAGTTGGCACAAGCTCAATAAGGATTTCTAAGATTTTAGCAGTTAAATTCCCCAAAGATTCAGTCGACGCTAGTCAAGTTCCATCTGGGGATGAGGAGGATTTTCCCTGCAATTGAAAGTCTGGGCTGCTGTGGGCCACACCAGGTGCAGCCACCTAAATTGAGAGAAGGGAGCCTGCCTGTGTTGTCACTGACCCCCTGCTAGCTACCAGCAGAGTGAAGGAGGAAGCTGGGTGATTTGAATGCAGAAAGGACAAGTGCTGGGCCTTTGAGGGACAGAGGGAGCAGATTGGGACAAAGAGCCTAGAGATGGAAACTTGGACTGAAGGCTTGCAGGGAGGGAAAGGGAAATTGGGACTGGGAGTTGATATGCAGGAGGCGAGACTACAACTGACTGGGCAAGGAGACTGAAAACTAGTTGGGGTGGGAGGGAGAGGGACAGAAGACAAATCTGACAAAGAACTGGGGTACAGGAGAGACTGGCTGGGGAAAGAGACTGGCATAGGATCTGGGGTGGAGGAAACAAACTGAGATTGGATGAGCAGTCTTAGTAGGGGAATTTAGACAGGCAACATGGGCTGGGGGAGGAGGAAGACAGACTGGATGAGGAGCACTGAGGGAATTAGGACTGAATTAAGCAAAGAGACTGGAGATAAGGCTTTTTTTGGAGGGGAACTGGAAATGGGTGGGCAAGGAGACTGGGATGGAGATGGGAATGAGAAACCTGAAGAGTGGAGACTGATGAGGTGCCAGTGGGACTAGGATTAGGGGTGAGGAAGAGAAGGGAGAGGGATAGACTGGAGGAGATGGGGCTGACCAGTGCTTAATTTCTAAAGAAAGAGGGGCAGCGTGACTTTGTACATTGATGTGTGCAAGGTCACACCTTACATGTCACTGACAGAAGAGGTGTTGAGGCAGAGCCCTGGCACAAATTAACCACTGGGGCTGAAAGTGTCAAGATTCAGGAAAAGGGCACAGTAGTCTGCCCCCTAGAAAGCCCTCCCCTCCACAGCCTGCAATGGAACCTGAGATTCCTCAGTCTCAGCATTCCTCTGCTGTTAGCAAATGAAAGACATTTGCAAAATACCCCATCTTCCTTTAGTGCTGGTCCACATAAAAGATGCCTATCTACTATTAGTCAGTTAGCCCCTTTGCTCAAGTGGTAGTCTAAGGTTCCAACCCTGCTGGTGACCCGTGTGGGTGTCAGTATGATGCCACATGATGGAACTTTTAAAGACCTAGTAAATGGTTGCACAAAACTGTTAAACAGATGGTCCATCCTGTGCACTGAATAAGTTAGGGGTCCTTAGACAGAATAGTATATGATAATTACTGTATCATAATTAGGGCTGTCAATCGCAATTTACTCACGCGATTAACTCAGAAAAATTAATCGCACTGTTAAACAATAGAATACCAATTGAAATGTATTACATATTTTTGTTGTTTTCTACATTTTCAAATATATTGATTTCAATTACAACACAGCATACAAAGTGTACAATGCTCACTTTATATTTTTATTACAAATATTTTCACTGTAAAAAACAAAAGAAATGGTATTTTTCAGTTCACGTAATACAAGTACTGTAGTGCAATCTCTTTATCATGAAAGTTGAACTTACAAATGTAGAATTCTATGTTCAAAAAAATAACTGGATTCAAAACCAAAACAATGTAAAACTTTAGAGCCTGCAACTCCACTCAACCCTACTTCATCCAATTGCTCAAACTAGTTTGGTTAAAATTTGCAGGAGATAATGCTGCCCGCTTGTTGTTTACAATGTCACCTGAAAGTGAGAACAGGCATTCGCATGGCACTTTTGTAGCTGGTGCAAACGTTCGTATGCCCCTTCATTCTTTGGCCACCATTCCAGAGGACATACTTCTATGCTGATGATGCTCATTTTAAAAAATAATGCGTTAGTTACATTTGTGACTGAACTCCTTGGGGGAGAATTGTCTCCTGTTCTGTTTTTACCTGCATTCTGCCATATATTTCATATCATAGCAGTCTTGGATAATGACCCAGCACATGTTCGTTTTAAGAACACTTTCACAGCAGATTTGACAAAATGCAAAGAAGGTACCAGTGTGAGATTTCTGAAAATAGCTACAGCACTTGAGCCAAGGTTTAAGAATCTGAAGTGCTGTCCAAAATTTGAGAGGGACTAGGTGTGAAGGAGCATGCTTTCAGAAGTCTTAAAAGAGCAACGCTCGGATACAGAAACTACAGAACCCAAACCACCAAAAAAGAATATCAACCTTCTGCTGGGAGCATCTGACTCAGATGATGAAAATGAACATGCATTGGTCTGCTCTGCTTTGGATAGTTATCAAGCAGAACCAGTCATCAGCATGGACACGTCTTCTGGAATGGTGGTTGAAGCATGAAGGGACATATGACTCTATTTTTGTGGCACCGTCTACAACAGTACCATGTGAATGCCTGTTCTCACTTTCAGGTGGCAAGAAGTGGGCAGCATTATCTCTCTGCAAATTGGAACCAAACTTGTTTGTCTGAGTGATTGGCTGAACAAGAAGTAGGAATGTGTGGACTTGCAGGCTCTAAAATTTTACAGTGTGTTATTTTTGAATGCAGGTTTTTTTGTACATAATTCTACATTTGTAAGTTCAACTTTGATAAGGAGATTGCACTACTGTACTTGTACTAGGTGAATTGAAAAATACTATTTTTGTTTTTTACAGTGCAAATACTTGTAATAAAAATAAATATAAAGTGAACACTACACTTTGTATTCTGTGTTGTAATTGAAATCACTATATTTGAAAAATGTAGAAAGCATCCAAAAATATTGAACTAAATAGTATTCCATTATTGTTTAACAGTGTGATTAATTGCGATTAATCACTTGACAGCCCTAATCGTAATACATACCCAAAAGGGGACAAAATGAGTGCTCGACTTTGCAACCTTATGTTCTTATTGGTGGGTGGGTGTGTAATTAACTATAACTGTTAGAGTATTAACATCTGTGTGTTATATAAAAGGAGCTCTTCTGACTGCGTACTTCCTCTTTGCTCAGGGGACTGATTATCTGAGAGATAGGTGCTGCAAAGTTAAAAACCTCTGCACGCCATTTTCCCTTGAATTTGCAGAATAGTTAACTAACAGGTTGCATAAAGGTACCCACTGACAGATTGGAATGCAGACTTAAGAAACTGAGTATCAAATTGAAAAAGTTTTAAGTGGGGGTTTTGAGAACCCAGCATTTGTTACAGCTTTCATTCTAAGAATTGATATTTGTTAAGAGGGGGATAGAAATAGAAAAGGATAAGGATTTTTGATACAGCAGTTGTTTTGCTTTCAATGAGTGAATTATCAGTTTAATTTGTTAGTGTGAAAAATTTCTTTAGTGGTTACAGCATTGTTTACATTTCCTTCTTGAAGCTATTGCTATATTGTGTTTGCAGTTGTATGGAATGAGTTGGAATTGATGGAATATGTATATTGCTAGCAGAAAAGAGGGTATGATTGTTCTGATCTACCATTTGAGCACCCCTGCAATATTCCATGTCACTTGGGCCTATATGCTTCCTAAAGGCTGGCAAACCTACAGGAGACGAAAAAGCTGTCTGAATTCCCTGTAGCTTATATCCAATGTTTCTTCTCTGCATAGCCCTTTTATTACCCAAGGCTTGAGGGTCACTAGGACGTGGAGGTCACTGAAAGTCAGAAAATCCAGGCTGGCATTGCAATACCCTTGTGGATGCTCACTACCTATGGTGGGACAGTCAGTTACTTTTTGTCAAGATCTAGTCACAGTCCAGGCTTCAGAGAAAATAAAAATAATTGAGGTGTCTGTTCTAAAACATCTGGCAGTCTGGATTTGGCCCCTGGTCTGCTTATTGACTACCCCTGCCCTATACTATAGATGTACACTATCAGCTGTTTAGAGGAGCAGACCTCTAACACATAGGCTTTGCATAAACTAAGAGCTCTGACAATGAAGTATTAGGTACTTCTGCAAGCTCCTGCTAGAATGGGGGCAAGGATGAAAAGAAGTGTGTATGCTGTAAAGAGGCCTTGCCCTTTTAACCCAGTAGTTTTCCATAGGATTGAGCAGACGGTACTTATTTAAGACATATTGAAAGGCATTATTCCAATACTGTAAGATACTGCTCTTTATTTATATCTTTCTGTTCAGTACATTACATCTTCAGCACAGACAAATTGGCTAAGATATACTAATTTTTCAAACAGCTGCTGGGAGAAGACTTACTGAATGGCCAGTGCCCACAGGAGTTATTTGCAAGTACAGAATGGGTTGCTGCAGCAATCTTTCCCTTCCCCTTTTAAGACTACTTGACTGAACAGGTCCTGTTAATTTGCATACCTTTGAAAAAATCTTCTCACTTACCTAAAGATTCAATATATCAAGCCTAAAAGCAATTTAAGAGAATGTTAAGTTGTTGTACAATTTGAATTTCCTATACAGCAACTTATTAGCAGTAATGCACTCAGCTTAACAAGCAGCATCAAGCCATTTAATTTGTGTGTCTACCTGCAAATCAGTTGGAACAAAGAATTGTTTTTAAAAAAAAAAAAAAAAAAACTTGAGGGATGTGTTGCACTAAACATAGTGTTAACAGCTGTCTGATCAAGAGGGCTTTGTTGTAAACACAGAAGACATTTAACTATTCAGTTCTGAACCTTATTTAAGAATACTAGAATAAACTTCCCCTTACACCTATCTAAAAGGGCTTTGCTCCCCTGAGTGGGGTGAAGTTTAAAAGATGGGATTCTTCAGAATAAAAATTAACTGGGTTGAGTATCAGGAAGTTTAGGTTGTGTCCCTACAAGGATGGATGGCTGACCTTGGAAAGTCTCTAACCTCTTGTTTCCCACCTCTTTAAAATAGGGACAGTATTTAAGGGCTCTATAAAGAGTCATTTGTTTACTTATATGGAACTTAGTTCTTTTCAGTTACTGAGCACCATACTTCATGGGTATTGCTGCTGTTAAACCTAAAAATTCAAGTGTTTTAACATCCTTCTAAAAAGGAAACTGGCAGCAATGTTAGTTGCACAAGCTGACAGGCTTGTGCAGAGCTGATTTCAAGTGCATAAAACAAATTAAAATGGGTTTTTATCCCCACAAAATTCCACTAAAATGTAGCACTGACTATGATAGTAAAGCTTTTCCTCAGACTACCTTTACATTGCAATTCTTAGCAGAAGTGAAACCTAGAGGACTACTTCTAGTTTGTTTTTTTTAATGTTACTATTGCACTTCCATTGCTGTTTGAGCTAAGCTTATACTGTGCTGTTCACACTTTTGTTAGCTGCAGGGGTGCTGTAAGTTAGCCAGTGTTATAGCTATCCTGTGCTTAATGCTAGGGATTGGCTGATTTGACCCCCTTCCTCATCAGCTAAAATAGTTTGTGGGAAATAGTAGCATGACCTGCAGTCACACTGTACCCCTCCTTTGTCCACAGTGGCCCTTGGAGATAAAGGGAAAACTTCTTGTTTGCATGGGAAGAGATATAGAAGACCCCAGCACTTTGAATAATTAAGTACCCTTCACCCACCCCTTGAGCTCTTCTACCTAGAACCTTTGCTCTGAGGCATCCCTAAAAGTAGGGCAAGAAACTCAGTTTGAACTGAAAGTTCCAACAGCCCTTCCCCTTAAAATTCTAGAGGACAGAGGAGGCAGGGAATGCCACAACAGCACCCAATAGTTATTTAAGGGTAGGTCACAGTTAGTGAGGAGATCTGCCTGCAGCACAGCTCCACCTGCTCAGTTTCAAAGTTACCTTTATCTGTTGTTCTATGCATTAGGCCAGCTTGTAGCAAAAAGTGGTCATAAAGCAATGGGGAGTTTTACAAGCCAAATATACACAATATATACTTGTCTGCAAGCGATGCTATTTCAAGTTCTCCATTCAGCATGCAAACCTGGCCTTTTGGGGGAAATATACCTAAGTCACCCACATGCCTTACTAGCAATGGGTCCTCACTACCTCCCATTTTATTTAAATTGTTCTCTTGATTACAGATTATACTCTAAGGTGTACTTGATACCTCTTCATTAGTCTAGCTGTGATGTAAAAACCTTTTTTCAGATATAACCCTGAAGCTGCTATATTACATTTTTGAATTGTTTCATGCATTGAGAGATCCCGGATGGATTAACCCTTGCTGTCTCATTCTCAAGTTGGAAAATTCAAAGTGTTTCTGTGGGAAACTAGAAACCTTCACAGCTTTTATTTGCTTCTCTACATTAATTGGAATGCATTTTCCTTAAGGTACATGGGCTGGGCCACAATTATAAATATGGAAAAGTTTTTTAAAAATGCTGTAAAGCCAGCAAGCTCTCAGGAAACATCACTAGGCATAACGACAAGGAAGAGAACATGTAAAACTATAGAATTGTTGTCTACAGTGTGAATATATCTCACAATTCAAATAAAATAGCAATGATAACAGTAGATGCAAGCACAGATTGTAAAGGGGCAAAGTGTTTTGACCTGTAGGAATTATTTTTAAGGCTTTGGTCACATTTGTGCTTCTCTGGTTCTGTCCAATTAAGTAACCTAGATGTTTTACTTCTTCCCCGTAAGAGGTTTTTTGATGCCCATGCATTTCATGGGCTCTGATTTGGTGGGTAATGGGGAAGACCCACATCTCCTTATGTAGCCAGAGCAGACAACACCTTTTGCATATGTAGAAAAAGCTCAGGACGAAGGGGTTGATGGGAACAAGATAAGAGGCAAGCCCCATGATTACAGTGTAAATTGTAACTGACTTCAGCAGATATTTCTACAAATCATTGCAGTAGATCTGATTTTTTTTGTACAGTTGCTTTCTGCTTCTGAGTGTAATTTTATTTGTAAGGCACTCCATTCCTGAACTGTTTCACATGCCAGTTACATTTAACAAACAAGTCAGGGGTTATGCTTTAGTCAGTTTGTACCAGGAGTTCAGTGCATCCATTTCTGGCAAATAACTTCACACCAGTATAACCCAGGTCATTTGCACTAATGTGCTCTTTTCTATGTTTAAGAACTACCCATTTAATATTGAACACACACACACACACTTTGTACTGAATACTGCAGATTACAAGTGATACATGCAACAATATAGAATCTCCATGACCAAGTGCATAGTGCGGTTGGCTTCACTCGTGGGGAATAGCTGTATTAAGCCACTTCCCTTTGATAAATTATTTCCTGTATATGCAAATACATGTGCATGAAAATCCAAGTAGAACGCATTACTTTTGCATACAAAAATGATACGTTACAGGAAGAACCAGTCAAATGTTAACTGTAAATACAGAAAATGCATGCACAAAGAAAAACTGTGACGTGCAGAGCCTGTGGGATATAGATATAATTTTATTTAAGTTTGTGTTCATGGCAGGATGAGACACTATTGAAAGGTCTTTCCCCTGTATGGAGATGAATAAGATAAGTTTTCAATAAGCTTTAGATACTGCCCATTGCACTGCATTTAAATAGAAGTGCTTACTTTCTATACAGACAACATAAAAGTAAGCAAACTTACAACACATTCCTTTAATATATCAAAAATGTTTCCAAGGCAACATTATTAAAATTATTATACCACAGTCCCCAGTAACATCGAGCTGTATAAAGGAGGTGGGGGGGGGGCCAAATTTCTTCATCCTGCTAACAGTTTAAATGCCCTTCTTCTCATCACCCAGTAAGTTCACTGTAGCTTTCTTGGCTGGAGGAGGGGAGAAAACAAAGTGTTAAATTTCTATTCTGCTACAAATTAGAGGCCTGTGTAATCACTACTGGCTGCAGTTGAGAGACAAATCTACATTTTGCCTCCAAATGCTGAGGGAAAACCAGCCATTTTAAAATAGGCAAATAAAACTGACAATAGGAGTGGATCAAAGCTGTGAAGTTTCGTAGAAACAGATTCTGTGAAAATTACAGCAAACCAACCATAGATTGATAGCACCACAGTGAAGATTACAGACCAACTTAAGAAAAGAGCACTATTTAATATGGGATGTACCAGGTCTAGCTGTAGTACCTGAAGATCTGTATATTTTGAAAGTTTCACTATAACATATCCAGAGCATGAACCAGCCCATCAGTCAGAGTTGGCTGTAATAACATACTGATTTAACAGGTATATGCAAACCTTAGTGGCTGAGGGTGTATAAGGGGGGAAAGAGAGGGAAAAGAGAACAAGAGGGCAAGACTCAAGGAAGAGGAACACGAAAAAGACAGGAATAGAGAATACAGGCAATAACTAGGAGAACAAGAATAGTTGAAAAGAAATAAGTTATTGTGCTTTAAACCTTATCTACCAAAACAGATGTTTGTCTCAGTAAAGGTCATGCATCAGAAATGTAGGAAAAATAGGAAATAATGAGTCATTTACATTCAGGGAGGAAAATAGAGGTAAGACAGAGAACAACAGGGAAATCAAAGAAAACTCCTAAAAAATTATGAAAGGTTTTCTCCCTTCAGATATAGATTCAAACACTCCAGAAAGTTCAGCTACATCTCCTTCCTTCATCCATATTTTACATGAGGCATTTACAGTGCAAAATTTCCTGCCTGGTTTCCTTGGGAGCTAAATAAGTGCAGAACACCCTCCAGCCTTCTTCCCCCCATGCGAGCCCCTGTGAACCATTTTAGCATGCTGCTTGAGCTCCAGCAATTGTACATTTAGGAGTCACTATGGAGATTTCACTTTTCTCCCGAGACACAAATCACTGTTTGGTTTTTTTGTTTGGTGTTTTTCATTTTGGTTTCTGGGAGGGGAAAAATACAAACATTTAATAGGTAGTAATGTTTCACCTCGTGTTGAATTCCAAGTAATATTAACAATTTGCCATATAAAACATTTGACACTCATGCCACAGCACCAAACTCAAAGTACTTCAGTGACCCAGAATGCACTAGAATAGTTGTATGGATTGCCTTGTGTGATGTGCTGAATAGATTCTCTGACTAGTACCACCACTTTATGGACATGCTAAGCTGTTGTAGGAACAAGCAAAATAACTGGACCATTTCATGCAAGCAGTGTCCTTCAAGAGACTTGTTGTTTAATGTAGACACACACCAAAGAAGTGGTACTTGCTGCATCTATGCCCTCTACAGTTGTCTCTCTCCTTTACTTTGTTCCAAAGGGAATTTCTGCACAAAAACCAAGACAACACACATCCCACCAGATATCTGCAAAAGCAGCATCTTTTAAGACCAAAAAATGATCATTTTAAAGGCATCAGCCCTGAAATCATAAAGGTAAATTCCCACTCCTTGAGGTAAGTTTACATTCTTGGTCTCACCTTCTTTAGTAATGACATCCGCAGTCTCTGCAGCTTTGTCTTTCAGATCCTTCACAACACTGTCCAATTGAGCCTCGTGCTTCAAGAAGAAAGGGCGGATAATTCGGTGGTAGAGAAACTCTGCTCCATTGGAAGGGCTTGGAGCCATGCACCATAGCAGAAAGCCACACTGCACAGAAAAAACAAAATCCAATATTGGCGCTGAGAGAGGAAGGATGAGATTCAGAAGATCTGGGTTCTCTCCCTTACGCTGCCACAGACTCAGTGACTTGCCACGGTCACTTTTGCCTTTTCTACACACAAGCTGTACTGGTTTAATTAAACCTATATAGTAAAGTGACATGCACAAACCCCCCTCCAGCATGGATTCAGTTATACAGATATCGCTTATTTTCATATGAGAAGGGGAGAAATAAGCTATACCTGTTTAAGGCTTGTTTATACCAGTAAAACTGCATCCATAGTAGGGGACTGTACTGTAGAACTGGGTCAGGGGTATGGTTTTGTTGTTTCAATCCAGTATTAATCTCTGTGCCTCAATTCCCTGGCTGTAACATAAGGATAATACCTCACAAGAATGTTGGGAGGATAGATCTTTTAGCATATGAGAGGCTTATGTACTACTGGAATTGGCAGTATACACATTTCTATGGCAACCATCCCAGTACAGATACCAAAAAGAACATTTAGGTTGTAAAGTCAAAATCAGAATTAGTCAAAGTCAGCACCTATGCAACCTAAATTAAGACTTTTGGTACATATATAGCAAAGGTGGGCAAACTACAGCCCGTGGGACCGTCCTGCCCGGCCCTTGAGCTCCCGCCTGGGGAGGCTGGTCCCCGGCCCCTCCCCTGCTATCCCCTCTCCCCGACAGCCTCAGCATGCCACGCCACCAGCATAGGAGAGGGCTGCACTGCGGGGGCAGGGAAGAGCAGCAAGGGGAGGCTCACCTGCAGCCTCAAGGGAGCAGGCGGGAGCAAGGTGAATGCATGCGGAGGACTCAGGAGGAGCACTGGGCGGCCGCAGCCACTGGCTGGAGAAAAGTGGCGCTTTGAAGGAGAAACCGTCGCTTCTCTCCAGCTGCGCAGCTGCCCCTGCTCCTCCTGAGTCCTCCGCCCATGTCTGCAGGGCTGCATTCTGAAAGGGGCTTTATAGGTGGGGTTGGATAGGGCGTGGGGTCCCGGGGGGTCCCAGGAGGGGGCGGTCAGGGAACAAGGAGTGAGGGGATTGTATGGGTCGGGGGTTCTGAGGGGGCAGTCAGAGGGCAGGAAGTGGGAGGGGCGGTTAGGGTTTGGGGAGGCTCAGCCTTCCCTACCCGGCCCTCTATAGTTTTGGATGTGACCCTCAGGCCATAAAGTTTGCCCACCCCTGATATATAGTGTGAAAGAGGACCTGCTCTGAGGATGAATCAGGATTGCATAGTGAAGGAGACTGTTTTCTGAAGGACACCTACCTCATTTGTTGCAAGATTTGGCAGGTGCAGAGTCGTCTCTTTTTCTGTGGTCCCCTATCTGATGGCTAAGCAGTTGAATGCTGCCTTGGAGAATTTGATGCCACCCCTGTCTCTGCTACAGAATTCCTATGTGATACTGGGCCGGTCACTGAAACCAAGTTTCAGATGTAGTCACAAAGTTCTCTTCATTATCTGGGTGCTCAACTTGAGACCTGGGGTCTGATTTACAGAAGTGCTGAGCACTCTCAGCTGCAATGGAAATCAATGAGAGCTGTGCTTTGGGAGCTTAAAATGCTAAGTACTGTGAAAAATCCAGTTTTAGGTGTCTCAGACTGGGCACCCGAAATAGCAGATCCTTTTGAGTTTAATATCTGCATCTCAGAAACTATGAGGAGTCCTTGTGGCACCTGAAGAACATGAAAAGATGGGGGTTGCCATACCAACTCTAATGAGTGCTCATTTAAGTGAACCCCATTCATCTTATACTCTGAATGAGGTAAGGGGTGTGGGTGGGGGGAGTAATGACACAGTAATTCAAGACTGTATAATAATCCAGCACACAAATAGGCTGAAATAAGGTTGCACCTTAATTCTGGTATTTCTTAATTTTTTAAGTGCTTGATTTTGCAACCTGAATGTTCTTTTAGTGTAGATTTTTGGTGCAATTTCCTAAGTGGATTTCACAGATATGCTCACAGCAGAGGAATGAGGATACTCAGGAATTCAATTCCAGGTTCTGAAAGGGAGTGTTCTCCAGTGATCAGATCCTTCTTGCCCATTCTTTTCCCTCTCTAAAAGTTTGGCCCCTTTTGCCCAGTACCCTCTAACAGTCCCTGTTCACTTCTGCTTTGCCACCCCAGCTTCTCCTCCCACTCCTATCCTACTGGCTCAATCAGCACCTCTTGTCTAGACTCCCTTCACAGTCTCCCTGTCCAATTTCCTTTCCAAGCCAGTCCCAGTCTCCCTTTCACCCTGAACTCCCAGTCAGTTTCTCTCTTCCCTCCCTCACTGGTCTCAGTCTCAAGCTCCTTGTTCCAATCTATTCCACTTCCACGTCTGACCCCTATGCATTTGAGTCAGGCAGCTTACTTCTCCGTGCTGTCTGGGTGCCAGCAGGGGGCATAGAGAACTCAGTTCTAGGGCCTCTCTCTAGCTGAGAGCAGCTGTCACAGGGGAAGTCCTGCTTCACCCCTCCAGCCATTGGCTGGAGCACGCTCAGCCATGCAGGGGTGGGGAAACGGCATATATTCAATCAGGTCCCGTGTAGGGGATGGAGAATGTTAAGTGAACAAAGAATTTTTGAAGATTTTAGAGGCTAAACTCTCATATCTACTAATTGTACACGAACTGCAATTTTTCACAGGCTTGTAACTTGTCTTATTTTCCACTAGGATTTTACAACAAGATAGTTAACTTGATGTATTAAAAAAACAAAACCCAACTTTTCTGAAATGAATAAAAAGTCCTAACATTGCATTAATTAACTGGACCCTTGCGAGAAAGAAGCATGGCCCTCTCAAGAGAGGGACAATAGTTTCCTTCTGAATCTTTAGCCAGGATCAACTGAACAGTTCAGTTAAGGACTTTGAGTAGAATCTTGGCTTTAACATAAGCTGTTTCCTGGGAGAGAATATCAAACCGTGTATCGTATTGCAATCATACAATTTTAACAGCAAGTCAGTATTGCAAAAACTTTGATGGACTAAACAAACACTTAGAATTCAGCATTATTTGCAAACAGTTGTGACAAAAATAGCAAAGTGCAGAGATGTGGGGAGAGAGAAGCAAGAGAGAAAAGCAGCCCACCCAAAAAGTACATAACAGTCAATTGCTCAGTTAAAAAGCTACTCAGTTACCTGGAGCTTCCTCTACCCAGAAGTGTATTAAAAAAATAGCCTATTGAAATGAACACAAACAATGTAGTGTTTGAAAGTCTGGTAATATCACATCTTTGCTGGCAAAGACAGCCTGAAGCAGGTTAGGCAAGTTGTAGTTTGGAGTTAAAGTGTAGCTGATTATTTACAGCCTGCTGAAAGCATTCATGGTGCTGCAAACATAGTTTAGTGACAAAGTACTGTAACTCCAACTCTGCTCTTTCAGAAAAACAAGGACACGTTAAAGGACATCTGAAGCCCATATGATCCAAATCTATATCTTCACCCCCTGATTCTCACACCCCCACCACCCAGTACACAGGATTTATACTTTTTATTGTGGTCTTCGGAGTTACTTCTGCTAATCCCATGGAGTGGGGGCAAATGCCTTAGGTCCCTTCACTGCATAGGTACATACAGTCATATTGTCTAAAAAATTTGGCTAGGGACTCAACTTCCCTATGCTGTACTCCTCCTCCCTGCAACTCTTGTCATTCTCTTCATTCTCCCCCTAACCTCAAGAGTTCATACTCTTTGTGCCAAAGTGACAATTTATATGCTAATCGGTTTAAAAGTTAACTATGACCCAGTACCGGGGAATCTTACTGCCATCTACTTCTTTCGTGGATTCTACATTAGATATATTGAGAGATTCTTATTTTAAGGGGAAAAGGGTGAACCAACAAACCTTCAGCATGTAGTAGAAAGGGAACCAAGACAGAAAGATATCAGAGAAGAATTCTGCTATGCTGAAGATGCCATACACAACCCAGTAGGTCAGCCACTGTGTGTCATCATCTTTGTTGGGGCTTTCAATAGCCTTGATTCTGAAAAGGAAAGCATAACAGGTGAGCAGTTCAGTTATGCCACCTCATTTACAAAATACAAGGATTTGTCCCAAATCTGTTATGATATAGTGGAGAGACCGATCACTTTGATTTGCCTGTGCATATGTACGTGGGAGGATGGGCTGAAACATTCCTTTCATACAGAGGACTTGCCCCAGATCTTTGTACACTAAAATCTTTCTATATATGAAAGAAGCCGAGAAACTCAAATATATTTTTAGGTCTCCTACTTCTGACTTTGATGATAAAAACATACGTACATACATAGACATCAAAACACAGACAAATGATTTGTGGCCTTCCATTCCAGTAGATGATTAAGAAAAGGTGAGGTAATGTTAGCAGGAATAATGTGGAGAGTCCACCACTGAACCAAAGGCGTCCCACCTTAATGAACCACATGTTTTTTCTGTTCACATGCTAAGGTAATAAAAATGTTCCAGTTCCCTGTAGACAACAAGATAGAGCTCACAGAAAGTTCATTTGCTGTTACATTCTTGCTGGTCACTAAAGAAAGTTACTCACAGGTTCCATAAGAAATAGCACAGAGACTGTCCCCCTCAAATCACTGGAATGCACATAGTGCTTCTGCATACTATTACAGTCTAAACAGCAGAAATGAAATGCAGATCTGTGCAAGCCACTGATGTGATTGTACTACAGCTCCCTAGATGAAAGCCGACTGTACTCTAGATTAACAGCTTTTAAAGTGCAATGATTATCTTAGCGCACAATGATTCTGCATGAGCAAGAACCCAAATTTCATACAAGCAGAGGCAAAAACATGAAACTATGTGGCTGACCTGTGTCAACCTGCATGTCATATCAAAGCACCATTACCTGTGCAATGCAATAGAAAAAAAATTAAACAAACAAGCTCTCGTTAGAAAACTAGTGTGGATTCAAGAAAGTCTTACCAGAGCCTGAATTTTAAGTGAACAAACTTACTCCGTAGCTCACGAAAGCTTATGCTCAAATAAATTGGTTAGTCTCTAAGGTGCCACCAGTACTCCTTTTCTCTTTGCGAATACAGACTAACACAGATGTTACTCTGAATCTTGTTATTTTGTGGACCAGAAGAAAGGTGATAGGTAGCCTTTATTTTAAATTGGATCTGAGCATGTACCTAAGTGTTACGCCAAAATGGACAGTCTCTACATAAAAGAATAAATGGACACAAATCAGACGTCAAGAATTATAACATTCAAAAACCAGTCGGAGAACACTTCAGTCCTTTTGGGCACTCGATTACAGACCTAAAAGTGACAATTCTTCAACAAAAAAACTTCAAAAACAGACTCCAAGGAGAGACTTCTGAATTGGAATTAATTTGCAAACTGGATACAATTAACTTAGGCTTGAATAAAGACAGGGAGTGGATGTGTTGTTACACAAAGTAAAACTATTTCCCCTTGTTTATATCCCCTTCTACTGTCCTTGTAAACTGCTGGAAATGGCCCACCTTGATTATCACTACAAAAGGTCCCTTCCGCCGCCCCCCCCCCCGCATCTCCTGCTGTTAATAGCTCACCTTTCCTGATCACTCTTGTTACAGTCTGTATGGTAACACCCATTATTTCATGTTCTCTGTGTATATAAAATCTCCCCACTATATTTTCCGCTGTATGCATCCGATGAAGTGAGCTGTAGCTCACGAAAGTTTATGCTCTAATAAATTTGTTAATCTCTAAGGTGCCACAAGTACTTTTTTTTTTTTTTTTTTTTTTTTGGAAGAAAGAGCAGAGGTCTAGGAATCCTATAAGTCCTAGAGAACGCCAGTGAAATGCTACCACTTTGGATAACTTTGAGGGAAATTCCAAGGATTGAGTAGTAGTTAGATGACCCAGGTTAACAGATGTACAATTTATTTGTGAATGTGGCAGTACTGGAAAGAATGTTCTTTTGGGTAATTCTATAGTAATAGAATAAAGTGTACTTACCCAATTTGGTTGGTCATTTTCTTGTATATATTATTCCTTTAATATTGTTTGTTGAGTCTGAGGGGAGACCATCAGTTGCACAAGATTTTTTTTGAAAGTCTGTAATAATGTTTATTGAGCCCTGTAATTCATAGCTACTGACAGTTCTGCCTGTGAATGCCACCTCTGTTTTATGAAATGCTAGACTCCTTATAGTGCTTCAGATCCTGGTTCTACAGGTTAAAAAAAACCTTGTCACAGTATTGATTTTATGTTTTAGAATAAGCACTGGAAAAAAAACCTCACCGGTTGACTTAGCTCTCTTTGACCAAATTATCTTGAAGCACAGTATGACACAAATATATTGATTTAACTTATTCGTTATCTGGACACGGTAAACATCCTCAAATTTATCTGAGATCCCACAGCGGGATATTAACAGAACCTGCCATGACCCATCCAGCACAGTTAACCTGTGGTGCTCAAGCCACTTTGCTGGCACAGCAACTGGAAGAACAGGCTTTTCAAAGAGTGCTGTTAAGGACTGCATTTTCAGTCCATTGCTGCTCCCGCTAACACAGCGCTAGTATTACACCATGGGCTGGGTGGGATTTTGAAGCAGTGACAGACAGGAGAGGAGGGAGAAAAGAACTGCATTGATGGTCTAATAGCAAAGCCTTCCCCATGTTTAATGCCAACAGGGACCTAAATTCCATGGCAAAGTTTTTGCTTCACTCTAATGGCACAGACTGGAAATGCTTCAATAGTTGCATTTATATTAAAAATGGACATTTGGAATTGTGGGCAAACACAGCTGGATACTTGTGCTAAAGCGATCAGCTTTTAAATAGTTAACAATTTTGAGGCATGGTTCAGGCTCTCCAGACTCAGGAAGAGACCACTGCATTTGCTGAGATTCTGCTCACATTTCCAAGGCTGTCTTCACAAACATGGAGACTATTATGTTTTGTTGATTTGTTTGTTTAAATGAATTCTACAATTTCGCAGTAAGGGGCAGTTCCAGGATATCACAGAATACACAGAGCTCTATTTGTGTTAGCCAATATTAGCTGGGATAGATAATCCGTGCCCTTTCTCTGTGAGCCAATAGGGACTAAGAGCTCTGTTGAAACAAAGCACTGTGAAAGGAGGAAGTGCTCTAGTCTTTGGTAATCTGCTGTGGCCAGCTGAAGGAGCTGCAATTTCCCTAATCAACTCAGAGAGAGAGAGCTGCATCTGTGTGGGCCCTGGGGAAGAAAGGAGCACAGAAAGATCAAGGGATAGAAGAGAACAAAAGTGTGAAATCCAAAAAGTGAGGGAGACAGCCCCCCGCACCCTAAAAGGAAGTGAATAATAGCTGACAGAGGTGGTGTTATATTTGGATTAGCTCTTCTCTATTTTGGCCCAATAGCAAGAGTTAAATAGAGGGGCTGCAGAGTTCCATTTAAAGTGGGGGAGGGCACACAGAGGAAGGGGGAAGAACGAGTCTGCCCCGCACTCACCCCACAGTGGCTCCTGTCCCACAGGGCTGGGCTGGCCTGGCTCACTGCTCTAGCCAGTTGTCTTTCAACACGAAACGGGGCCCTCCCCAAACAATACCTTGACCCCTCCCTGACTCAGCCTAAGCTCGAGGGCCTGAAAGTGTTGAGGCCCCCCCAGCTTTGCAGCCTATGGTTAAACATTTGTTTTTGGTAGTGCCCATGATGTGTTAGGTGCTTCACAAACAATCAAGATGAAAAAAAAGGAGTACTTGTGGCACCTCAGAGACTAACAATTTATTTGAGCATAAGCTTTCGTGAGCTACAGCTCACTTTATAGTGTATGCATCCGATGAAGTGAGCTCTAGCTCACGAAAGCTTATGCTCAAATAAATTGGTTAGTCTCTAAGGTGCCACAAGTCCTCCTTTTCTTTCTGCGAATACAGACTAACACGGCTGTTACTCTGAAACCAATCAAGATGAAGCAGTCCTTGCTCCAAGGAGCTCACTAGCGCAGTAAAGCAGTCAATTGCTTCTTGAGTGCCAGCCTGCGCAATGTTGCCAACACTTGTGATTTTATCAGGAGTCTTGAGATATCTGGGGCATTTCTTAAACCCCAGGGGGGGGCGCCTGAGGTAAATTTCTAGCCCTGCTGGTTTCAAAGAAGAGCATGAAAACATGAACCTTACAGGCTCAAAAGCTATATGGAAAAGAAAACATATCCAAAGTTGATTTTTTTTTAAATCGTGTTTTTTAAGCCAGCCTCAGTGCTTGAATGCTTGAAGATGGGAGTACTGAGAAACTAAGTCTCCCGCAAACCATACTACAAATTTAAGAATCCCTGCACCATTTGAAAGTGGTGCTGGTGGGAGAGAATATCTGCCACCACTCCACCCTTGCCAAGCAAAACCAAAAGCAAGCACTTGTCCCTAAGAACTGATGTTTCCTTTGGAGCCTGTGTTGTACATTGCAAGTTATGAATATAAAATGGGGCTGATATTTACCTACCTCTTTGTATTGCTTAGAAGCATACAGATAAACCCCACAATTATGAATGATAAAGAGGGATATTTGGATTTATAAAACAAGACAATCTTTTATGGTTATGTGCAATAAAAAGGAGGTGTTTGTTACACCAAACAGATAATTGTGTATCTACACTGTGCAGTTAACCTGGGCTCTTACTCAAGTTTTAACCTTAACCCCCCCCCACACACACACACACACAGTTCAAGAAAGTAACCTCTGACATAGCTCTGGAAGTGATTTAAGCCCAAGGCTAGCTTACTTTGCTGAGGGTGTGGCTTAGAGCCCAGGCTTTGCTTTAACTTGAGCTAGAACCCACCCACTTTTCAGGGAGGATGCAAGCAAAAGTCACTCTAGTGCTGAATGTCCTTCCCACAATTCCTCCCTGAAGGACAGACAACTTTTCCCTCAATTGAAAACTGAATGGGTGGAAAAAAATCTTAGGATTTTTCTCAGCACCAGGAACCATGGGATATGTCCCCAGATACACATGGGCAAGTGCAGATACAGTAAGCACATAATAATGCATGTAGAGGTTTTGCTGTGGGGATGCACC